AGACTTCAAGCTACTCACCTAAAGTTGTACATGAATCAGCCAACTCTGTCATCTCAGGCAATTCCGATTGTAGACGTAACAATTCTCCAGATCATTGGTCGTATGCATACCCAAATGATATTGGTAAAGACTGTGATCATAATTCTTCTAAAATACTAGAAGCTTGCAATATTGATTCTTCAGATTCTACCTCAATGAAAACACTTTAATGTCGTTTCTGACCATCGGAATATGCCTCACTTCTGTCTCCTTACTTTACTAGTCAAAATCTTGATTTGTACATATAAATAACTGTCATTGTAATTTTCTTTTTGGTTATTCAGCCTTTTAATCAGTGTAATGCACAAAGTGCGTTTGTCTCAAATTGCAATAAAATCAATTACTTAGACTTTCAGTAAAATTTCCTGTGTCCTATCGATTCATCATTCAGAATGTGCTCTTTTATTCTTGCACTTCGTCCAAAAGTGTTGTGCCCTGTTTTTATAGAAATTTTGTTTTCTCTCTTCATGATATATATAACTTTCGGTGTGTTTTAATATAAGGAAAAAGAATGCTTTGATATTGAGAGACAAAATAACAGTGCAACAATGATTTATTTTTACGTTACATGCCTATTAAATGGACGAGTATTTTTACCCTATCATGTTTTTTTTTCATTTACTCTTCCCTATTCACATTTGTTTATACTGTTTTTTTATATTGCCCTTTCATCTGAAATTTATTTCTACTAAGGTTATGTCACATTGTTTGGCATAGACATTGACAAAGCTTAAGTGCACATACTCATATTAATTACATGTATCCATACAAATCCCTTTTTTAATCAAAACTTTATCTGGTGTTCTTGTTAATTTCATTTTTCACTCGTTGACAATCAGGTTTTTATTGCTTACGACGTAAAAAATTAGTCTTAAATTCAAACAAATACCTAATTTCTTGTTTGTTTGTTTTTCGATGTTATATTTGTCCCCACCCCGCTTGTGTTACATGTTTTAACACAAATTGGTATGATTGTGAACATTAATTTGTGCTCGAAACATCATCCATTTGTTAATACACTGCATCACTGTGTGACATTTAAAATAAACTTATCTTATATGGAATTTTACACGTTTCGTCTGTTCAGCTCATGTTTAATCAACTTTTCTGGAGATAATTATACTTCCCTTCCTCACAATGATTTTGCCTAAATTCTTATAATTACCTATGAATAATGTTATCATTCTAATAAATGGAAACAGGGTAACTCTTCATATATTCATTTTTTGTCAGTTCATTACCACCTAATATGTGAAAAGGTTGATGTTGCCACCCTGATATCTGTATGTTAAGTGCGTTAGGAACCTAGAGTACACGGAATGGAATTCAAGTATCAAAATCCAAAGCCGTACGATTGGTTTTTATTATGCGATTACAAATAATTTAAAAGATATTCTATTATGCAGGCTTAAGTATCATGTGTTGTAAAAAATTTCGTAATAGTGGAAAGTCCTTTAATGAAGTATGCGCTGACACCAATTCCTATATTTTGTTCACCCAAAAGCTGTCTCGTGTAGCGATATATTTTTAAAAACTATATTTCAAAAGTGAGTCCGCTCTTTATTGATTTTGTTTAAAGGTAGCAATTAAGGCGGAGACAATAATATATATATATATATATATATATATATATATATATATATATATATATATGTGAATGAATGAAAGTCATCCATTTAATCTGTGAAGCTTCATAAATTATGATGCTTAGACAGTGTGTTTAACGCGCGTGGCCAGGAAATTTCTCGAACAGCAATATTAGCGGAAATGAGACAAGACTGGAAAACAGTGGTTGTGTTCATGCAAATGTGAACTTGAAATGTCAAGTTTTCGCACCTCAACATAAGCTGTTCGTGGTAGAAGGTAGTAGTATAGCACACAAATAAATGGTTGTGACTCAAGCAGAAGTCACAGGAAGTTATAAGTGACTAAATGTTATATTTATGTCGATTCGGAGATTAGATATACCTGTATAACTGTGAATTGTTTTGGCCCATTCCGGGAAAAATCCCATAAGCAGTCTATCAGAGAAAGAAAACTCCAAATCTGGTTGCAAATAATTAATCAAATACTTGGACTTCTTCCTAAAAACTTTTACAAAAAGATTCCTTCATGATGTCTTATATGCTGCCCCTGTCTAAATGAACTTATCTGTAAAGAAATCTCGGCACCGTTACAGAAGGCGGATTAAGTATTTGCCACTCATATCCATCCTATCTGGCTTTGAGATATCTAATTGCCCACTTAAGAGTGTAGATAGTATCCAACAGTTTACTTCATTCTAACTCAGGGTTACGCTAAAAATAGAAGACATGAAACAGCACAGACCTTTGATCAAATGTGTCTCGCTTCAATGACTGATCTAATGTAGATCAGTATGCTTAACAACGGTAAATTTAAGTGTATAATATGAAATGAATGGAGACGATTGATATGTTTCTGAAAATTCATCATTTGAAACTACCATGATATACGTTGCGCGTGCACAACAACTTTTCCTAGAAGATCATGTTGGATGGAAAATAAAAGTGTACAGACTCTATCCACTTCACGTATAAAAGTGTTATTGGCCTTGTTCAGACTTTCAAGATACAAGGAATGGACTACCAAAAACCCTACATGATCTGGCTCATAGTCGTTCACGGTACCAACCTACGGTTTTATTCGCATTTTTGCTTGGAATTATATTTCAGTGTACGGTCTACGTGCACATTTTTGAATTGCCTGTGTTTTACAGTTCACTGACCTAAAGTCGACTTTTGGGAAGAAATGGCTTCAGAAATAGGTAGAACCCGTCCATTGTCTAGGCTTATTGAAGAAACTGGACATGAAAAAATCAGAAGCATCTAAATAAAGGATTAAATCTGACAGTTTCTCAAGAGAGATTAATGGATTTCAGGACAGAACACTCAGAGGAACATATCCACTAGCCAACAGTTGCACGCCAGTTGGAATGCAGACATTGGTTCTCCATATGTAGCGAACGTTTCAAAACCTCCCCTAAATGTATAAGCAAGTAGACCTCAGAGTCTCTCGATGGCGCATTCATCATGTTTCCACCCTTCAACAGATCCTGGAACATTCGCCCACTCCGTTCACTGAATTGGACGCCGCCGATTGAGAAGTTTCGTGTCAATATCCACCTGTAAAGAGACAGAGCGAAAAGGATATTGTTCTAACCAAGACATTCTAATCAAACGCAATCAGTCTTGTGTGACAGTATGCGGAGTCGTCGGCTGAAGTGATGAGAACCAATGATGTACTTTGGGGATACACAATGTCACCCCGTGCATTTCATTTCATCATACAGACAGATATGCCTTCAGTCGACTTCGATTTCTCACGGAGTGACTTATTATCACAGATAAATCCCATTGATCTAGAGTACGTAAACGATATTCTCTCATTAGGGGAAGGTACTGAGAAGGCGTGCACTCATCTGACAACCTTGAGAGAAAATCTAGACATATTTGGCACGGGGTTTACTCCTATGAAATGTGAGATGATGCTGTGTGATTGGTTTGCACCGACTTCGAGCTAGAGAGTGCGTTGAGTGTGTTAACCATCTATGTGGCGATGTCTACATTCACAGGCCAGTCAGATCATAAGAACACACTAAATATGTGTGCCTTTTAACCATTTAGATATTAGCTGGCGACACTCCTAGCCTCCACCTTCCACAACGAGCGACACTGGATGCAATGCAATCAAGGTATTGAATGTTTATGTACACTACCTCACCGGGGTCCTCGAGGTGCCAATAATCAGTAGTTGTGAACTGTATGTGATCTGGGCTAAAATCGTTTACAATGGCACAGATGTTTCCACCCTTGTGGTCTTCGAGATTCTGAAAAACCCTCATTAATCTGCATCTAGTTGACCTCTCTCTTTCACACGCCTTCATCCACTGTAGTTTCAGTACATTTTTTCTCTACTTCTACGTTCCCTCTTCTAAAGTGCGAGAAATTGAACTGCTGCACATTTATGAAAAGTTGTATTTTGATAAGTTAGTTAAGCAGTCAGTAAGTTCATCCGTTATCTAACTGTCATTATAAGTTACAATGAAAAGAGGAAGACTGCCTTATTTTAAATTTTATGGAGAAAAAATATTCTATGAACCAACATTCTGATCAAAAGTTTACCTGTATGTCCTGTGAAAACTTTTCTAGAACTGACACTTCTTTAAGTAATCCTCCTCTAAAATTAAACAAATGGAGCTTCAATGAAACGCAAACTAATAATGTGTTATAGTACCACTAAAACAACTATTCAACTACGTATAGCATAAGTATTAGGGGCAAAGTGAAACGCAGGAATAGGGAGAAGTGGAGACTAGCAGAAACACACAAAGAAGAGAAAAAGGATAATATACGAATGAATTGAAATTCATTGGTGTTGTATCATTTTTCAAACAAAGTAGGCTGTAATCCCTACTGCTTTCAGTTTCAAACGATAAACCTGTACATCTAGGCCTCTGAATAGCTCAGCTTTTCAGACTTCACTTAGTGGGTCATGATGTATTAACTAATCATAATATTGCGCATTTTTTCATTCATAGCCACACATTCACAATTCAAAATATAACAAAATTCTGTTTTTTTTCTTCCTTTATAAAGCCCACAAAATTATTAGCGCTGCGTCGAATTAAACAAGAATTATATGGCTCTAAATGACCGCATTTAGTTACAGTTGCTAGCGCTTAGTGTGAAGAATTCTCAGTTTTATTTCGTTTGTTGCCTCAAACCCACTATATAATCGGAGCAAGCAAAAAAGCCTAGCTTAAGCCTAAACGCAATCGGGAAAGACTTTACGTTATTGCTAGTTTCTAACGCAAACACACTTACAAGCACACAACTTACGAAAAATAACATAAGAGCATGTGCACAATCATCAGTATTTATTTCATATTATATCATTTTGACATTGCAATACAAGTATACATCAAACTACTGAAGTCCTTACCCTGTTCAAAAACTTCAGCTTCCTAGTCGTTCGGAAAATTCAAATTTATACAAATCGTTAACTATGTAAGGCGTAGGATACATTTTTTTAACTACGTTCGCTTGTCATTTCGAATCAAATTCTGCTTCCGCTTCAGGTACATTTAGATTTTCCATGTAGTTATTAATATAATCCTTTGAAACAATTAGTTGTAAGTCCTGTTTCCTTCTTTTCAGCCTTAGAATTTCATTATCAATTTGCATTAGTTCCAACAACAACTTCGACTTTTCTGGCTGTGAATTTGTATTTCCTAACTTTGGTCTTATTATTGATGACGAGGAACTGGAAACAAAAGTCATTGCACACGTTTCTCCGCAATCTTTCTTAGCGTTGGTATTATCCTTGGATTTTGTCTCCAGCAAATTGTTTTCAGGCGTGCATGTTTTGGTGGGATTAAAGGAGTCTGAATTCTGTAATAAACATTTGTAATTCGATAGGAATAATACTACGATTGACATTATTTGGTTGAACATCAGTGCAGTAGTACAGTCCTGTGAAGTAGATTCACCGAAATTCTGGCTATTACTTAACATGCCGCCTTTGTCACAGCTATAGATGCTTTCCAAAGAAACATCTTGGTTACCATAATTATTTTTCGATGTTACATTCTGTAACTGGATGCTTTTGGGAGAAGTCTCGCTTCCACTATAATCAGTAAGTATCGTGTTTCCTCCAAATTCAGCTCCCGTACTACCTAACCTAATACTGTCTTCCAATTCATCGCTCCTTAATGATTCACAAAATATTGCACTTTCATATGTTGCACACCTATCTGATGCTTCTTCCAAAAAATTAGCGAACTCACTGTCTTCCTTTTGTACCGTATATTCGCTTAATACTTGACGTCTAAACTCACAAATCTCATAGAAAATACCTTCAAGATACCCTCGAGTGTTATCAGGAAATTTTTTATTGCAGCCGTCACTATATTTTCCACTTGTTAATTGTCCATGAGCCAATCGTTGTTTGGCTCTGCTTTTAGTTCTTTTCCACCAATTTCTTAACTGCAGTGCCGATCTTGGGCTGGAACTAGGGAATTTACGTTGTAATTTCATGGAAATATGTTGCCACAATAAAATCTTTCTGTTTTTTGTTTCAGAATGACTACTTGGCGATTCTATGATATTTGGGTACCGCTGAACTTCTGATAGCAGAAACCGCAATTCCTTTTGAGTATATCTTTCTGCTCTATTTCCGACTTTGCAAAATGCATTTTTCGGTAAGTGTGACATTGAGCACGAAATCTAACCAAGACTTTCAAAGTGTCGGTTGCAGATGCACATTCTTTGACTCAAATAAACAAGCAACCGTCCTATGTCCAATTTTGAACAAAAGAACAACGTTTTCGGCTTAGAGTGATTCATTCACCAATTTCAGATTGGATGTAGCAATATAGAAATAGGTGATGCCAAGTTTACTTTTCGTTTTCAAGATTTTTAGTTCCAACTTCAGTTAGACTTAATCTGACCAAATGAACCTCTGTTGATGTTTTTCATGCCTCTTCCACATGTAGATTTACACTGCTAGGTTAATAACTGCCATCAGAATTTTCCATAGAGCCCGAATGTTCACCTCTGTATGCAATTTACACGTGCCTAGAGGTAGATATGTCAGCATTCACGGACATAAACGTAACATTATTCCTAGCTAATATCAAAGGTTTTTAGAGGCTGAAGATATTGACGTCCACAGATAGTATGAAGTATAATAACTCAAGATCCAACGCCCACAACTTCCACAATATGCGTTCCACTTCGTTAACCGACTTTACCAGTTTGTCACTTACAGGATCTGTTGATTATACGTGTTAATCTAATCAATTAAAAAGTGATGTGCTGCTAATGGACCTAGTTGCTGCGTACTAGGATCAGGCTGCAATTACTTTACCTAAATCCATGTACATGTTTACGACCTCTAATGCGCCAAACACTGTGCACGAATTAATATCGGCGTAGAATAACAAATATGAACGAGTGAAGAAACGTGAAATATTATGAGTGGCGTAGTCAACACCTTTAAGCATATTTAACCATGCCGTCAATTTAGTCGAAGAATGAATGATCGATTCATGGTTGTTTGCTCAAACCCAACTCCTCCATATTTTTCGCGGGTCATCAATGCGGCAGTCATCGTCTCATCGTTCGCTGTTCAGAGGAAGAATAAAAACAATCGGAAGTATTACCGTGATTTGTTGTTATAACATTTATTCCTACGCCTTCTGTAATAACATTATTGTTGGTTATATGTTGGAGTTGGAATAAAGGAATCTTTAGTCGCCAATCAGTGTTCTGGTTTTCGCGCTGATTATTACAAAGTGTTTCTAAAAGTCTTCGAGGGACAGCGTGAGGTCCAGCTTAGCAAGAGCTGGACATTGACATTTTATGAGAATTGGCTGACAGATTCTGATAGTTTTGGATAGTTTCCGTTCGTCTTTCCTGGTTCCTGCCAGTCTTTTTCAACAAGTATTATCTGGAACTTTCCTGGAATTTTGGTCAAATTCAATGATGCCTGGGTCAAAGAAGGGACAAAGCGTGTGGAAGCAAACAGGAAAGCAAGTAATGCTGAGATGCTTGTTAATTTTAATGATATGTATGATGCTCAGCATGATGAGTCTGTTGTTCATGTTTCGCAGTCTAGCGATAATAGGCCGAAATTTTAACCTCGGTGTATCGATGGAAACCCAGCTGACTATTTACAGTTTTTAAAGGAGTTTGAAATCATGTTGAGCAGTTTTTTATTAAATGATGAAATGAAGTTGATATATTTGATGAGGTACTGCACTGGAGTTGCTTCAAGAGCTATTCAGTGCTGTAAGTTCATGCCCTCTAACGAAGGATACTCTGAGGCTATGAGTATACTGCGTCAAAGACTCGAAAAACTTCGATGATTGTAAGAAAGTTATTCGAGGCTGTTAAGGGTAATGGTGGTCAATTACAAGATGACTCCAAGGCACTCTCCGAGTTTTTGGATAATCTGATGAATTACAAGAAAACGTTGATTTCGATGAATTGCATTAGTGATCTGAACTCAAGTTCCGTCCTAGAGGTAATAACGAGACGCCTACCTACCTACTCGGCTGCAAAGGAAGTGGGTGAAGATAAGCTCTCCTATAGAGGATGAAAATAGTGAGCCAAAGTTTTATGATATTCTGAAACTGGTAAGAGATAGTGTCAATCAATCTATGAGCAAGCTTGCCAGTATACTGCATCCCACCCCCAGAATAGAGCAGTCTGAGAGCAAAACGCAAGCATTTATGACGAAAGGGTTTCAAAGAAGTGGATATCGAGAGAGATGTATGGTGTCTAGTAAAAGCTTTCGTGGGACATCCCCAACAGATAAGTTACAAGTTGCGAGACAAACACGGTGGTGTTTTACACGTTCGCAAGAAGTGCATACAAAGGTGAACTGTGAAGAAGTGACCTAGTTTAGTAGTAAGCCAAATGTGAAGTCAACGTCATCAAGTTCTGACTACGAATCGTGTGACAATAATGGTGCGGTGAAGAAACCTGTAGTTGCAACTGGTAAGCCATTGTTGATTATGGTGTCACAGATGACACCGCAATTAGTGCAGGAGAAGAGAGTTACAGTTTCAGAGTCTAGTTCTGACTCCACAAGTTTACAAGGTATTACTAGTCAGAGTAAAGGTATAAAACCTTTTGGGATTTGCGAGAAGGAACCCAAATCATCCGCTGCTGTTAATAAAGTGCTTCGAAATTATGAAGTTGATCATACAAACGGAGGTAAAGTGGATATTTGTGACAGTGGTCATGATAGTGCAGATTTGTCTTTGGCTGATCATGATCAGATGAACGGAATGCCTACTACTACTACTGAGTTGAATAAAAGTTTAATAATGTAATGTTATGTATTTCATACAAATTTTAAAAAAAATTTACATGAAAATGCATGCCCTTTTTTACAGGCACGATCAAGTAAGATATAGTCTCAAATCTCAGATTCTCTGCAAGTTAATCATATTTCAACTGTTAAATATTTGATACATATAATACACTCATTTTCTGAACTAGGCCGTACAGTTATTGAATTGTACAGTTGTCCTCCGGGTTGAGCGGGAAAATCGACTTCGTTTCGTTTTCATCCCGTGGTTTTAGGCATACGATAGCCAACCAATATTGAGGTAAGTACAACTTTTACAAGGGATTGAAGTCTGTTTTCGAAAAATTAAAGTGCTGAGGTGAATCATTAAATTGTAATGAAATAGGTAAGTGCAAGTATCATTAATAAATGCATTTATAAAGGAAACTCCCTAGGCTGACAACGTTCATTTGCAATGTATAATGCTTCCTGTACAGTTTGAACCATCATGATGTCCACTTTTGGTTTTAATACATTTAACCTCAGTTGTGCCAGTTATTTTTTTGTTTAATACCTTTTTGTGCATTTAGTGCACAACCGTACCCTTCAGAGACAGGAATATAATAAGTCATAAAGAGCTGTAAAATGTTAGTTCTGTACAGTTCTGTACAGCTCGAACGTGAAGTAAACTTAAAGGTAGATGCGGTGGTAGAAGGTATGGATACTCATGAGACCGTCAGTGTAAATGATCAGCGTGTAGCCCAATTATCATCAGATGCTAATGCTTAACTGGAGCTAATAACAAAAGACAGCAGCGGTGGTAATCATACAGTTAGACAACCTACTAAAAGCCGAACAAAAACAGCTTCTGATGCACCACTAAGTTCATCAACTTGTGTCACTCTGTCGTCGTTGGTGTTGTCATCCACGATGAAAGGTATGTCCCTGAACTCACGTGTCTTATGTTATGATTATGTTAGTATCAGCCCGTTTGAACGGACGAAAATCAATGGTCAGTTTAGTGAGGATAGGCCAACTGTATATGAGAGTGTAATTGTTAAACTGACTTGCACGAATAAAGGCATTTAAAGTTTCAAATTACTATTTGAATGCTATTATCTTTGGTGTAAATTGCTCTGTTTCTACGCTTGCATCTTCAGATACGTCGTATTTTTGTCAGTTATCTATATTCTACGATACAATGACATGGGCGTGTCACCATTCAGAGTTGAGGATATAGATGATAGAAGGAAGTCAGCAAATGAACTCCGCGACGATTTTCCAACCAAGGGCGTCAACCTGAGAAGGGTTGTAGGCGTACTGGTGTAAATCCTACAATTCTTCAAGGGTAGTGCGTCGAAGCGCAGTCCATCGTACTTGGTGTGTGATTTTGTACACATGTTCATATTGCATATACTGAATTGATATCGTCTCTCGTCTGTCTGTTGGTAACTTTTTTTTGTGTCCGGACGACTTCCACTTGAATCATCAACCTGAGAAGGAATGTAGGCTTACTGGTGTAAGTCCTACAGTTTTCCAACTGTAATTCGTCAAGGCAGGATCCACAACATTTGATGTATTGATTGTACATATGTTTGTGTTAAATAATCGAGTGGGTTCCAACCATTGTGTTTGTTGGTTAATCTTGTTTGTATCCGGACATTCTACAACCTGCAATCGTCAACCTGAAAAGGGTTGCAATTTTTCAAAGGAATTACATCAAGACACGATCTGCAAGGTTATTTGTACTGCTTGTATATACGTGTGGTGTGTCATATCTACTGGTGTTCTTTTGATTCACTGTGTTTACCTGTTGTTTTCGTATCTTAGTGTATTGCATAATTTTGTTAAATTGTTCGTCATGATTACTTCTGAAGTTCGTTCAAGTCTTGCGCATCCGTGAATGAATTGACTGATGTTAAAGACAGCAGATGGGTCATATATGCCAGGGAGACAAGTGCTGAGAATGACATGCACACTCCGGGTAGCAAGAGTGTAGACGACTGAGGCTTGCATACGTCACCGTTACTAGAACTGAGGCAGAATGAGTGACAAGCAATAGCAGTGGTAATTGGTGGTGAGTAGATAAGAGAATGTGCGAAGAGTATCATGAGGTGGTGCTATGGTCACGTTGTGTTCTGCAAGAGTCATTCTAGCAAGTGGCGATTGTGTTGCGAGATGTCAAGAGGATGCCTTTAACTGGAAGACGTAGGTCGTCATCGATGTGTGAGATTGTGCTGTGGGTATGCTTATGGTGTGTCGGCTTTCTGTTTGTTTTCCATTTCAGCTTTGTCCGTGTGACCCAGATTCTCGCACCGGCATCCGAGTCAACGTGAATTGGTTGTGATGGAGAAAAAGGAAGAATGGATCCCTTTCTTGGCGGGGAGTGTCAATGTAGTTGAAGATTGAACGATCAATTCATGGTTGTTTGCTTAAAACCCAACTTCCCCATATTTTTCGCAAGTCATTGACCCGGCAGTCATCGTCCCATCGTTTGCTGTTCGTTGGAAGAGAGAAAACTATCTGATTTATTATTGTGATTTATTGTCATGACATTTATTCTTAGAATTTGTGTAAAATAACCTAATGGTAGGCTCCCTGTTGGTGCAAAAATAAACGGTTCTCGAGTCACCAATTTGGGTTCTGGCTTTTTCGCGTTAGTTATTAGGCATAGCCTTTGAGGGACAGCGTGAGGTCCAGTGTGGTAAGAGCTGGACTTTGAAAAATGCTATGTGCAGCAAGATAGTCAAAAAACAACGTTAAATTACGCAAAGTATTATTTCGCCAGACATATATGTAATCAGTTTCTGTGAAATTCCAACACAGGTGCATGAATTAAGCTTAGAAATGTTGAGTTAGTTTTACTTCGGGCAGAATATAATGACTCGCTTACATTCAACTGAAGATGATACATGACTAAACATTTTAAAACGCCGCTCTGAATACGAGACAATCAGCTTTCCTCTGTGGTAAATTTGACAAGATGACAAGGGAAATTTTACTGCATCCTCCTGGTTCTTGACATCTACATGCTTTCTTGGTTTATAACTTACCACCATATTTAACCAGTTGATCACTACGAGATATTAATTAAATCATTCAGTGTTTTAATTTCACATATCATGGATATGCTTAAGGGGAAGTCAGCTCACAGTAATGACTCTTCTAGGAATGCTATCAAAGGAAATTGAGATAATAGCCACTAAAATGTGCAACACGATCAATATGAACAGCAAAGTCCCCTTATTTGAAAACAAAACTTAAAAAGCTACATCTGTGGATACGAGAAAGAAAGCCACGTAAGCTGATGAAAGGGGCCAAATGTATCTACCTAGACAAAAATACGTCTAGTTGCTGAAATTTCCCAGAATATATCGGACACTGTGAATGCTGCATAAGTTTTGGACAGTTCTAACACTCTGTTACCTACAAAAAATATTAAATTAAACTGAAGCTTGAATAGTAGCTACTTCTGGCTATTTACCTGACGAAGATAATTTCCATCAAATCACACGGAGAAAACAGCATCCTCATTCCATACAAAAATGTTACTTGCTTTCAGTTAACCAAAGAAACAATAACTTTAGAGTGTTAACGTATTAGGTGACATGAAAAAACTCATCTTCATGCAGCGAGCAGAATACTTCAGTGGACACCCTACTACTCACCAAAGAATGAGAGTGAATCATGGCCACCATGAAGCGAAAATTCACTTGTTACTTACCTGTCACACTTATCCCGACAATGCCCAATGTGATGGAAAATTTAATGGATGAAAATCTGCCATGATAAAAGATTTACGAATACCAGGGCGGTTTCTGCCATGGTTGAATTTCTCAGCTTGAAATGCCGAAGAGTCGTATAACAAAAGAGATATCCCAGTTCATATGAGATTACTCAACGTTTTAAAGAGGCTTAAGGCTGTGAAGTAGACATCGACAGCTCGAATGTTAATCGGCTTGAAGGTGATGGTGAAATTCCTCGTCATCCAACCGATCTACTGAGTTTTCAGTAGTGCCAATATGGGACATTAACTTTTTTATCATTCAGACCGAACTGATAACATGCCAGCTTCTGAATAATTCGGGACCTCCACGCTAAGCAGAGGCCGTCACAAAGCTCAAAAATGCAGTAGTTAGTGTGGATTTGCAGGGTTATTGGAACAAATCGTCCGTCAGCTAAGTCATGTAATGCTTATGTGTGGTATTTTATGATGGGTCACTAATCAGGTGTCTAAAAGTCGAATGAACCCACATTTTTCTGTTCGGAGATTTAATCTTCTGCAATTTATGTCTGTGGATGTAACCCTTGGCACTCAGTGAAAAGTCATAAACTTTCCCAGGGTACATACATCTAATATATTTAAATGATGAGAATGTCGACCAAACTGAAGTACATCAGATAACCCTATGAATTCCCTTCAATAATTTTGACGAATATATAGTGTCTACTCTTTTCCCATTTGTATTCGTGATGGCTCAACACATCCTGACCTCAAAATTGATTTTCAGATTTCCGTAGCTATGACAATGACTGTCATTTAATTTGTGATCTTTTTTCTCTAAACCAAATCAAACGGCTGTATGTGGTGATTCTACAAACTGTACAAATCCTTCAAAAATATAAACGACCTGCTAGTACATTTGATACAGGTGGAATGTTTACCTGAATAGTATATCGGTCTTTAAAGTACATGTAAGAATGATGTAGACTGCCAAAGTAGTAAAGGTTAAAAGTCTTGAATTTCTCTATAATCAAGGTTGCTGAAAATCTAGAGAATAAATCACGTCTACGGTTCCCTCAGAAACGTGTCTACAGTCGCAGCTGTCTATCCTGTAACTCTCAAGGCCTCTGTTCCCCCGAAACAAGAAACTAATGCAAACAATATGTAAACCTTCAGAAGTACGAAGTATATCTGAATATCACACACGCAAGTCGATGGTTAATGCTTAAATGACGAGGTTTCCCACATTGGCGAACGAGAGTTACACGACAGTGTACCACTTTACCTGGATACTTGGCTGCTTTCCTTCAGTCTCGCTATTCGACTTAAACAGTGACGCTGAGAATCTAGTGTTGAGTGAAGGATTCTGTAGACTAATAATCTTGAGTTGTTTACCGCTTTAATAAACTGACTGCTGACACCCGTCTTACAAGAGTCTACAAAAGAACTGGATTCCTTCCTCACCGCCAAAGATGCCTGTGAGGGCAAACAATTTCGAATGATTACAGACCTTATAAAAGATAATAGACATGGAAGATTCAAACTTTCTCCAGGTGCTCCTACACCTGGGGAATTTTTGAGATTGTAAAAAACATGCGTAAGACCACACACGGAAGTTAACGGTACGTTTTCTTCCCCATTTCTCAAAAAAGACACCAAACTCTCGAGGAGCTCAAAGACTGCACAATAAGACCTTGATGGCTTTCCGAGGTAAACCCTATCATAAATGGCTGAAGAAATTATGTCTGATTAAATTTAGCTGCCGCTGTCTTAAGAGGGTTTATTAACTGACTGTAAAATTACGGGTGTTTGGAATCACCCAAACAAATGTTATCTGCCTCTAAGTATGCACTTGCTTCCTCGTGACAATCCATGAAATATTGCTCACCAGAGAAGAAAGACTCCAACGCGCTCCAATATTTTCACTTTGAGTTTGCCACCCCGGGATCTTGACCAGCGGATTTGGATGGTACATTATCCGTAGAAAGCTCTAATTGGAGGTTGGAGAATAATGCAGTGATACAACCACTGCGTCCAATTAGTCTATCCCTTCAAAATTCACTCACTGTTAGTGGATATGCGTTAACTCCTGTGGTAGGGCAGGTGACTCTAGAACATAAAATTTCATTGGAAACTGAAAGGTATTGATCAAAAGCAATAGAAAAGCTCCAGCATACGACGGATATTTGAAGAAGGAAATCTTGTTTTATTTTTTAAAGAAGTAAGTGTTACCACGAAGAAAACGGTGGTTTTTCAATGTTGTCACCTTTCAGTTACAATTAGGATATAATTAGTATTTTTGTCAAATATACATATACACAGCTTCATTTCAGAGCATTTTTAGTTGCTTTTAACAGTAATTTTGCACGGAAGACTATTTAGCCTTCTCTGTACTGTAACTTTATAGAATTATTTGTCATCTGACCAGATAGCAAAAATAATGATTCAGACCTGAATCATTATTTTGACATTGTTCGGTCAGTGATCAACCTGATAACAAATATAAAGTATCCCACAAGACTGCTTCATTTGTCACTATCCTTATAAATTTGCGAAATACCTAGGTCCTGACACATTTATTCCTGTGCCAATGGAATGAATAGTGTAATTTTTCGTTACAGTTCTAATTTCAATCTGATTCTTGTGCATTGAGAACCTAATTGAAATAAAATGTTCCAAGCCTGTTCGAATATACTTCTTCCAGTATCCTTAAATGACTGGACAGAGACTTTATTCATATCCTCAGTTATCATTGACGTTGGGTGCATTGTAGACCTTCGAGGCGGAATAAGATCGGTTTTTTTGACTATCTTAATATTTCAGTTATGTATGGATGACATGGAAACTTTCGAACATATTCCACCTTTAAAACGACTGGTAGTATTGTGATATTATACTTAAATGATATGTCCGTTTTGTGTAAACTTGCATGATCATACCAATTACTAGTACAAACTTTATCAATTGAAACTTCCAATCTTTATATTAATATAAGACTAACTATTTATTGAGTGGAGACTGGATTAAGTTTTATTGGCTTTGGCTGCAGTTTTGTAATTTTTCGAATTTTACTTAGTGTTAACGTCACTTAATACATAAGTGTCGCTTGAAGTCGGAAAATGTAGAAAAATGTCTTCAACACTAGATTAATAAATACTTTACTTCAACTGTTTTGATATTTATCGCGATGTCAAACTACTTACCAGGTTTTTCGAATTTATTTGCCAAAATGTCTTTTCTTTTGCAGAAAATGTTCCTGTACAAATAAAAAATCCGATTTCTTTTAATCTTGACATACGGATTTAAAAATACCTCAGGAATATTAATCACAGTATGTCTTGGAAATTTGTCTCTACCGTATGCGACGTCACTAAACTGTTTGATACTTCAAAATGAAAACGTACGAAGAAATAAGATAATCTCACTTAAATTATTTACAGAGTTTTTTAAATATGATTTTAATAGTTTGGTTTTCTTGGAAACACTACTTCAATAATCCTCTTGTGTATACTACTTGAACCATATATGGCCAAAAGTAATTTTCCAAATTTAACATGGGACCACCTGGTTAACTGCCTGCCACCACCTCATTTGTATGAGGTTCGCAGTCTTATAGGCGATGACATTATTGACCAAACTTTGGAATTGAAATCCGAAGTAATGTGGCATTTATTCATTTTAATAAACCCCAGGTTATTTTATTTTAGAACTAGTCACAGAAAATACTTCAACAACTAACTCCCTCTCATTTGCCAAACTACATCCACAAACTTTCTCAGAATCTGCGGACAATATCGACCGTTTCGTTAGGCTTTATTTAGACAATGCCAATAAAAAGTAAGTTGAACATTCTATTATGAAAATCATTGTTTTAGGTCGAAGCAGAAACCTCACAACAAAGCTTTCCGTCAATCAAAAGGTAAGCCTTCAAAATGTAAATATACTAAAGCCTAAGTTAACTAACTTGCGATCGAAAGTATAGTGGATCATAAAGAGTCCTTTAGACCCTGAAATTTTATGACTTATTTTAATAATATTAGATATTAATGAACAAGTTTTCGTTCTTGAAGTCATTATGCCAACAACAATGAGATAATATAGGGTTTTTTATTCTGTAATAAGTGAATTAATTTTCAAGTACTTTTGGTCCAAGAATATGTGAAGATAAAACTTATTCAGCGGTGAACCCATTAGGATAGAGATAACCTCTCAAATGGGAGGAATGGTAAACACATCTATTCAATGCAAACCAATCACACAGCATCATCTCACATTTCATAGGAGTAAACCCCGTGCCAAATATGTCTAGATTTTCTCTCAAGGTTGTCAGATGAGTGCACGCCTTCTCAGTACCTTCCCCTAATGAGAGAATATCGTTTACGTACTCTAGATCAATGGGATTTATCTGTGATAATAAGTCACTCTGTCAGAAATCGAAGTCGACTGAAGGCAAATCTGTCTGTATGATGAAATGAAATGCACGGGGTGACATTGTGTATCCCCAAAGTACATCATTGGTTCTCATCACTTCAGCCGACGACTCCGCATACTGTCACACAAGACTGATTGCGTTCGATTAGAGCATCTCAATTAAAACAATTCATTTTTCTTACGTCTTATGGTCGTACCCTGCAACAGTGTCTGTCGATCAATCGATACATATATCCACGAAATGTTAATTTCACTATTTATCAGGTTTCTTTACCAGAATATTGCTTAAGATTTTAACTTTTGAACTATCTTTTTCCTTCACGTTCCCACTGGGTCATAGGGTTTCAAGCTGGAGGCTTGAAGTTTCGGCAGCAGTGGTGTTTATTTTTGCAGGATGGGGTTGCTAGCCTCATGCCCAACCTTTCCTCTTTATCAGTCTCACTACTGGCTTAGCGAGGTAAGGGATCGAACCCCGGACCATGTGCATGGTAGACGAGCGCCTTAACCGCTGTGCCACTGACGCACATTGAATTATTATAATAATAATAAAGATATAGTAGCAAATAGAATATCACCTAAAATTAGGAAAATTCCACAAAAATTGAGGATCACTCAAACCTACATGACCAAGGTGATAATAATGTCTGAACTAACTTCTTTTGGACACATAAATTAGGCTTCTTAATGTGGATCCCAACAGCTAGCCTCAGCAATATTTAGTAGTCAAACTCTTGAGGCAAAATTGAGTTTCGTAGGTATGCGGTAAATGACCCTGAAAGCATGGTTAACGTCAATCTTGTGTTCTGTATCCACAAGATGAGACAGAATAGCGCTGCGAATAGATTTTGTTTGTCCTTTGCTTAATCACCCAGGGTGATGTTCAGGAATCCGACGAGAAACACGCCTAACTGTACGGCCCATGTAACTGGCTCAACAGGAGCAGTTAAACTGGTAGATACACATGGAAGAGGCGAAATCGGGCAGTTTGTATTTTACTTCCGAACGTAAAAGAGGAGTGGTTTTGAAGACACAGTGTAATTTGGCAGCAGAGAATGCTCTTCTTACCGCGTTTCTAAGGCGCTGTGTTAGTATCTCGCTGATGTTGCCTCCAAGGAACTGCATTTGTAAGAATAAGGCCATTTTGGAACTGTTGATAATTTGGGCTGCTTCGATTTTAGATTCATATTTTTATCAATAAACTTTTCTGGATAACCATTTTTACTTAGCAACCGTCTAATATTATTAGGTTCCTCAACAAGAGATTAATCCAAGCAGTATTATCGGCAGATTACTGTACAAGAGGATTTTTAAGTGATAATATGCATCAGTAGTATAAGACCAAACTGCCTGGTTCTTCTGTCAGTTTGTTGGTTTTCGCCTGTAATTCTTGGAGTCTATGTGAAATTAGACATAAATCATCCACGCGTGAAATCTTGATGTTCTAGAGTTTTCTTACTGGACCAAAGTATTCCTTATGTCTTCTGGCTGTCCGCAGTCTGACGTATAATCCAGTTCACCACAATAACGAATATCATCGGTTATAATAGATAGTTTGTCATACTCTTGTACTCACTTCAAAGGCTTCGCCGAGTTATCCGTTATGGACCACCTGACACGTGCTACCAACATATAGCCAGCTGTTGGATGCGAATGATGAAGATTTATGGCACTGCACGCAATAGTGTTGAAACAGTTCCCAAATTACTTCTCCTTTTGAACTATGATTACTTCATATAGCATATGGCAGAAATACCGTCATAAAGAAGTATTTTTTTTCACTTGATCTACATTTAAATAACATACTTCTGGCTTTTGAAAATGAAGTGAAATTTGTAAACATAAGACAGGTATGAGTTCCTGCTTTAAAATCAGGAATCTAACCTTTTGATCATGTTACTACATTGCTTATGCTGAATTTATATTTGATTTAAACTTTAAGGGGAGAATGACTTCTTGCTTTTACACTGATTTGGTAAATTTATTGCTTTTCTTTGATGTTTAATCTTTTTACTGATATCTACATATTTCTTTGAGTGACGTTGGAGGGACTTCGTATTTGTATATATATGATTGCGTCACAATGCTTTCCAGGACCATTTTGGATACTGATGATTAGTGACGCAATCCTCGAAAGAAACAATTTTCGAATTCCCCACAGCAAGCTTGACAGAGTGCCGCAGAAACACACTGAGCTCCTTGACTGTCGAGGGGTCCTTGCTACGTTTTAATTCATGAAGAATTCCCATCCAGGCATTAATGAAAACAAAACAAGTAGTTCAGGGAAGAGTTTCTTTTCGGCGAATTCGTTTTCTTAGATGTACAATCGCAAATATATATGGGTTATTTTGTATGTATGTGTAGATTAAGTTATTCAAATAAAATAGTATCGGTCATGGTTATTTCAACTAAAGTGCGTGATAATTAGCAAGTTTTGAGTGAAGTTACGTAATATGAAAACGGTCAAGAAAATTGGGTGTTAATGAAACTAGAGTAGTAATGAAGGTAATGAGTTGTCACAAACAGCTGTTAAAAAGCAGGTGCGTAATAATATGAATAGTTTGATGACTGAGTTGTACTCAAGATGCACATAAACAAAGTAGAGAATATGAAATTACGTAGGAGTTCAAAATGAATACAAGAATTCAAGTATTGGTTTGTAGGGATTTGGTTGATTGGCTACATGATTTCATCATGAGCTGACATTAGTCTGAGAACCATTGGAAAACCTGGGAGTACTGGACAGCTCTTTCCTCCTAGTTTGGGACTCTTCAGCAGTACGCACCCACCGGGATTCGAACCCAGGACCTTCTGGTTACAAGGCGAGCTCGTATACCATTAAGCCACTGGGACCCAATTCAATGGTCCTTGAATTCTAACTTCTGCCAATTCATGAATTCAAGGACCATTGGATTGGGTCCCATTGGCTTAATGGTATACGAGCTCGCCTTGTAACCAGAAGGTCCTGGGTTCGAATCCCGGTGGGTGCGTACTGCTGAAGAGTCCCAAACTAGGAGGAAAGAGCTGTCCAGTACTCCCAGGTTTTCCAATGGTTCTCAGACTAATGTCAGCTCATGATGAAATCATGTAACCAATACAAGAATTATTATTTTGTACGTGTGTGTACACTAAGTTCTTCCAAAAAAATTTTATCGGTTATGGTTATTTCAAATAAAGGGTGTGAGAATTAGAGGAACACGCAAGCAAACAACATTAAGTCATCAAAAATCAACAATGTTTTTACCATGATAGTGAAAGTGGTTGAATAATTCCTTTTTGTATGCACACCTCTGGTTTTTTCTGTGTGAATGACCACAGCTCCAGCAATACAAAGACGAAGAAACCGTATGGCCTTTGATAGGCTATTCTTGAATCTGGAGATTACTTTAAAGGAGACTTTTTTGAGTTGGAATTATCACTGTTAACCAGGTGTTCAATTATAGCACTCCTTATAGTACCACTATTACCTTTTCGCAACCATCCTGGATAGTGTTCTTGAAATCTCTTGAACACGATGCCCGTCAAACAATCGTGTACCTGGTTCCACACATAGAATTGGTCACTTGCGGGATCTTGTCCTTGAGGTATCTACAGATTAGTGGGCGACTGGAGAACATTATTCTTAGCGTTGATGCAAAGAATGTTCTTCTCAGAGATGATGTGATCCTTCTCCTGAGAACATCTCTTGTCAAATCTCCCTTGAAAGCTTATTAGCTGACCATTCCAAGTAGCTTTTCTATGGATCGATCTCGTTTAAGTCCCACCAGTTCTTCTTGTTAGTTCCACATCAAGAAAGGGAATATTTGATTCGTTTTCCATTTCAAGAGTGAATTTTATTGCTGGTTGGCAACAGTTAAATGTCTGAAGCAGTAGATTGGGGTCATTACCGTCGTCACAAATAATGAATACTCCGTCTGCGTATCTTTTATACAGTCTTAAATTTTGGATGCTCGGCTTTAGTGGATCTTTCTCGAGGCTTGCCACGAAGCAATCTGATAGTAGTAGACCCAACGGAGATCCCATTGTAATACCATCTTTTTGTCTATAGATGGTGTCGTTGAAAGTGAGCTGTACGTTCGGAGTGCATCTCAGTAGTGATTCCTTCAAATATGATGTTAGTATTCCAATGTTAAGGTGATTTTCATCTATTTATCTACATATAAAGCAGACTGTTTCTGTGAGTGGGACACTGGTGAAAAGTGACTCAGTGTAGAAGGACAGAATAATTTTGTTAGTTATATTCAGGTCCTGTACGCAGCCGATGAACTGTAAAGTGCGATGGAGCGAGTGCGTACATAGTTGTTTCCTTAGGGGTTCCAGAATATCTGTCAGCAATTTTTCAATAGAGTGGTAAGGGGAACCTGGCATTCAGAATTGAACGAAGTGGGAGACCAACCTTGTTTACCTTTGGTAGACCATAAAGTCTTGATATTATTGAAACTGTTGGCCGGATTTGGTCATAGATGTCACAAGTGATTAGTTGACTGGCCTTCATTCTCTTCAAGATATCTGTGAACTGCTTCTTTATCAGTTTGGTTTTGTTTCTTTCATTGGAAGGTTGGGAAAATTTATCTTCATTTGGCATATTTTCTCTTATAGTTAGGGCTATAATGTTTAAAGGTGGTTGTGTTAAAACTCAAAACATGTACTTTAAGTTGTTCAGCTTCAAGTATTCAGATAAATCAGTATATTTAAAATATCAGCGACTAAATTAGAACCTGATGATTATTGATTCAAGTACCTGGAATACATTGGATGTAAGTTTGCACTTTTTCAAAGAAAACCTTTCGAGTGACTTATTGCCTGTTTCACTTCACGTCCTTTTCTCTTCATTGTAGATGAATTAGAACTTGAAAATTCCATCAAAAGCATAAGGTAATTAATTGGCTAACTAATGACTATTTTTTAAATTTTTTTATCAATGATAAAGTCTGACTTATAGAACTAAATCTATCAAAGTAGTGTGATATAAATACCTAAGTGTTTTAATTACATATCTCATTTCACTTTTATAAGCTTTATCACCAATAAAACTTCCGATTGGTTATATATGGGCTGCAGGATGATCCTATAACCTATAATGGAATATAATTTAGGTATTCAGTACTGTTGGTAGGATTTCGAAAAACAGAGCTTCAGGGCGGATGCATTTATAATATTTGCGAAAATCTATCTTTTGGGAAAAATTATGTATCACCTATGATATCGGCGGTTCTACGGCAGAATCGTGCAGTCCGGGTTCAGCTCCTGACCTACGTATTCCTAAACCTCTCCTAGCCGGTAGGAGGAGGGGTAATACCAAGAGATTGGGCGGGATGCTGGCAACCTCAACCCGTAAAGAACATCACATCTTCCGAAACTTCAGAGGCCAAGCCTTGTATTCCACTAGGGAAGCAAAGGAATGAAAAACAAATGAAAAAAGTGTCGCTTATCATTTTTAATGTACATGATTACCTCATTAGTTTTATAATTTAAAGTGTCAATTAACGACATGAAAAAACGGTTGCAAATTCAGTCTTATAAAGGAAACTTTCTTGTTAACACAAAAATTAATGTGCAACCGGCACCAGACGTAGTTAAGAGCTATCTCATAAAAACCCCATTACCCTTTTGCCAACAATCTAATATATTTTTGTTTATATATAAAAAGAATACTCTCAAGTACACTCACCTCATGTTTCATCTCACAGCTCATCTGTTCATTAAGAAATAGATCCATGTGGCGTCGCCAGAATTTACCAATTATATGTGTTTTACAAGTATTAATGGAAGCATGTAAAAAGTTCTACCCTAATATATTCGATAACCTTCTACCATTCATCTCATGTTTGTCATTTCATCAGGATCTTTCATACTGTTCTCGTTCCCAACTTCTCTAAACGTAAGAGGCCTTGGCTATCCACTAACAATAATATAACATTTGTGCCCAGAATTTTTAAAATCCTAGCTGTTTCTTTACTGCATAAATTTTTATAAATTTCCCCTTTTTTGTTACATAAATATTCGAATTTTTCTACAATGTACGTTACTGTGCTAGCGACTCATTTGAATAGATCACTGATTGAATTACTTTTTTACTACAGTGTTGAAATAAAAGTGTGAAATATATGAAATGACAACATTAGTGCAACAGAAAATATTTCTAAGATTTGATCAGTCAGTACTTTGGAGGGGCAAAAGGGTTTTATTCTTCTTTTTATGAAATAGGGTGTTCTTATATTTTATTTTTTTTGATTTTTGATTACAGCTTGATTCCACACTGTATTTTTGGTACAACTATGGAATTTTCAGAATGGATATCGGTAGCCCAAATCTTGCAGGCCAACCATAGATATCAGGTGTGTATCGGCAGGGGATTGAACCTCAGACAATGTGCATTGTCGGCGAGAGTCCTAACCACTGTGCCACCGACGCACAATGCGTAAGATTAAGTCTCACGAAAAATGCAAAAGTAAAAATAGTGGAATTCCCATTCGGTCTGTGAGTCCTAGAAATACTGGATTAAATGTTATGCCCACACATGCAGCTTGAATTATATAGGGACACTGTTCATAAACTTAACACCAAAAGAGAAAAATCGCTATCCGATGTTTAAATTAGCTCGTTCAGGAGACCAAGAACAATTTACTGGTTTTAATGGTTTCTAAATAGTCATATTTATCAACAGTACATATTCCAAAGTTTGTTGACAAATCTACTTTCTGATGACTTTGATTGCTTTTTTTATCTATGAAACTGCTTAAGTTTTTATTCAGTGAAAGTGCATCCACTCATTAATACTTTAAATTCGAATGAATAGACTGTTCACTTCTCGGTTATCTGTTGTCGTTCTAAAAACTGTATCGCCCCACTGTTTTGTTTGGTAGATTTAACAAGTTAAACTGCCATAACGTTAGCTGTTTGGATTTGTGAGGGATTTGAATTACATCAAGGTCTTGTTATTAAAGCTGAAAAACACTGAATCGATTCCGGATCTGATGATGTGGGTCTTGGTTTCCTGAAAGTTCTTGAGTGCTTATTTAATAATACTTAAACTGAAATGGTAAAGTTTCTTAGTGTTTGTTTTCTATCATCCTTTAGTCTTCGCCGATACACAACTAAGTTTGCCTTAAAGTAATAACAGTAATTTTAATTTTTGTGTCGGTTAAAATTACTGGCACACCTACCTACTCTTTTACATTCTATTGAGTCTTTTTGACTATGTTTTGCCTTTTCGACTCGCGTCTTTATGTATTTATGCGAAAGGCCTCAACTCAAACAGAAATGTGATTACCCTACATCCTATGTAATTTATTTTGCATCTGGTAGGAACCAGTCTGAAATACCAATCAGTACCCAACTATCTTATGCATTCAGTGAAATCACTTTGTTACGAAGCATCTCATAAATAAACAAGTAGACTACTCGATACATATTTTCCCAGTATTTGGAACTAAAAAGATGTAATCAATACATTTTAAATGATGTCGGAATGCTAGTCGACTACATATGGATTAATTTGTAGAATTACTTGTAAGCAGACCTCTGTCGCATAGAACATTATTGGAAGCTCTTTTGTCAAAATGTGCAATGTGGAAAAAACGCCGAGCTATTCAGAGGCCTAGATGTACAGGGTATATCGTTTGAAACTGAAAGCAGTAGGGATTACAGCCTACTTTGTTTGAAAAATGATACAACACCAATGAATTTCAATTCATTCGTATATTATCCTTTTTCTCTTCTTTGTGTGTTTCTGCTAGTCTCCACTTCTCCCTATTCCTGCGTTTCACTTTGCCCCTAATACTTATGCTATACGTAGTTGAATAGTTGTTTTAGTGGTACTATAACACATTATTAGTTTGCGTTTCATTGAAGCTCCATTTGTTTAATTTTTAGAGGAGGATTACTTAAAGAAGTGTCAGTTCTAGAAAAGTTTTCACAGGACATACAGGTAAACTTTTGATCAGAATGTTGGTTCATAGAATATTTTTTCTCCATAAAATTTAAAATAAGGCAGTCTTCCTCTTTTCATTGTAACTTATAATGACAGTTAGATAACGGATGAACTTACTGACTGCTTAACTAACTTATCAAAATACAACTTTTCATAAATGTGCAGCAGTTCAATTTCTCGCACTTTAGAAAAGGGAACGTAGAAGTAGAGAAAAAATGTACTGAAACTACAGTGGATGAAGGCGTGTGAAAGAGAGAGGTCAACTAGATGCAGATTAATGAGGGTTTTTCAGAATCTCGAAGACCACAAGGGGTGGAAACATCTGTGCCATTGTAAACGATTTTAGCCCAGATCACATACAGTTCACAACTACTGATTATTGGCACCTCGAGGACCCCGGTGAGGTAGTGTACATAAACATTCAATACCTTGATTGCATTGCATCCAGTGTCGCTCGTTGTGGAAGGTGGAGGCTAGGAGTGTCGCCAGCTAATATCTAAATGGTTAAAAGGCACACATATTTAGTGTGTTCTTATGATCTGACTGGCCTGTGAATGTAGACATCGCCACACAGATGGTTAACACACTCAAGGCACTCTCAAGCTCGAGTGTCTTTCAGTCGCCAACTAGACATTTTCTGATACAACTTTTGGATGGATCTGTGAAAACTACAGAAAAGAATTTATAAATATCATGGAGTTTTTCCTTCTTTACGATTAGTTTACTGAGAAGAAATATGAGCAGCTGTTTGATTTACCACTTAGACTGACACTGCCGAGAACAAATCTATTATTATTCCCAGAGATTCCCAGACAGCTGCACAATCTCATCATTTCACTGGAGTGAACTTATCATATTTATCATTTTTGTCAGATAGGCCTAATTGATGAATTCAACTTGAGTATTTCTTTCATGTCTCTGTAATGCTACATACATCCAAAGCCTTATGTGCCATAGCTTTTCCTGAAATAAAATAGAATTTAGAAGTTACACCCAGGGGAATCTCATAACCAAACGAGAACTGGAGTTGCCATTTTAAGGAATTAATGTCTACTTGATTTAGTTGCAATACTATTTGTAGTCTATAACATCTCTTGTTTACATTTAAAAATTAGGAGCTAATGGGTTAAGTTGCCCTGCGTCTCACTACTTAGTTATTTCTAAACCCTCTATCTTTGCATTTAAAAGATTAGTATTCGATTCATAAATTTTAATTAACCATATGGATTCACTTCGTTAATGAACACAAAAACTGTACATAGGGATTTCTGCTGTTCATCTGCACACCATACTTTAATGATGTGTCGATTAGTCTTGTTGTCCTGTGAGTTGTAAATAGGATTTAGAAGTAAACTGTAGGGTTGATCACTACCAGGTGATCTATCTGTATACTTTATTGATTATTAGATACGGTGAGGTTCACTTAGTAGGTAGTTATCATTTCAAAGGTTGTTAGGTTAATTAAAAAAAGAATTATCTTTTCAAAGATTAGTGAGTTGTGTATAAAATGAAAACCCTGAAAAAATCTCCTGATTTTTAGGTTAAGATAAACATAAGTAAGTAATATTAGGATATTTGATTAGCAATAAGTGTCGCTTTTGAAAATCAGTTTAAATGAAATTAAAGCATTTGTAAAACATCAGTGTTATGATATCCTTCTAATTCATCATTGGTAAAAATGAATCTTGTATATTAATTTTCCCACTAACTTATTGGAACTTATCCAAATTTCCCAATATTTACTTGCCACTTTACTTAGATTCGATTGACTTCAAGATAAATGGCGTCATGAAGAGAGGTCAGCTAGAGAATTGATGAATACCTAAGCGCATATGACAATTATTCTTCAATATCTGAAGTTATTAAAAGTTGGGAATTATAGCTCATTATTTTCCTTACCAGTAGCTAAACAGAAATAAATACTTTGACTGTAGTGTCTAAGTGTTCCCTGTCCCATATTTTGATTAAGTAACGAGTGTATATTGCTAGTGAGCCTCGTGTCAGGATAAAAAAAGCCTTCCGCTGCTCCTTGTTTCCCACTGGTTTCCTAAGTGATATCAATATTTACATATTCCATTATTTGAACGATTTAAATCAGGCGAAAAAATATATTTAAGAATCGCCGCAGTATGCCCTAAACCAGTAGAATTCTATGGTGTTTCTGACTAAAAATAAAGCATACCTATGGAGAAAGCCGAGAATAAGTTAATGGTATTTATTTAATGGTACTCATTATATCATATCGCTTACTAGTAAGTAGTATTTTTAGTACCACTTTGGACGTTTTCCCCTATCGGCTTTAAAGTGTCATATGTTTGTTAATCTGTAGTAATTTAATTTTTCAACTCTACCCTGTGTTCTCCCTATTTTTTATGTTTTATCTCCCTGGACAAACAATTAGAATTTCTACAAGCTGTCATGCAGTACAGAATGGTTCATCACTGCTAAAAGCGAGAAAGACAATCTCTTAAGTTAAGGAGACTGATAAGTGAATGAAACTAAAATCAAAATCTGTATTTTGTACATCTGTGAATAAATAACAAAAAGAAATAATTGATTACCTCCACTATATTTCTTAAATTTTGTGGTAAAACCGATTTTTCATCTGAAAGTTCTGCATTTTAAATGGCGATTTATATTTCTTTTACTGTGTTTCGTTATTCAGAATTATCTGCTGAAGAACTTCAGTATATCAGATTATAAAGACGAAGAAGAAGTGATTCATCCTTGTCAAGTTAATTCACCTCTGTCTAAGTCAACAAATGACTGTAATAAAACAGGTGCTAAAAAGCAAATGCAGGAATTGTCTTGTGGTTTGGAATTCCTTCTCACTCAAAACCCCGACAACAAAGTAGTACCCAACTCAGTTTCAACTTCATCAACATCTCTTAATTCACCATCGACTGGTACGTCTTCATCCTCACCTGACAGAGCTATTTTGAAATTCGAAACTGATTTGGCACCAGTTCATCGAAACCCCAGTTATCCTGCAAAAAAACAGAAGATTCGTTCAGAAAAGGAGAGAGATAGTTTACATCATAGTGATGCAATACATAAACCAACAAACATTCGCAAATTATCTGGTTCAAAAGGCAGTAAAACAAAAGAAAGCATTCATTTAAAGTATGTTCAACTAACTTATGTCACTTTAATTGTCATCAAAATATCCTTTTGAGCTTTGCACAGTCGATAATGATAAAATGAGAGGTGTTGTAATTCTATATTTCCATGTGACGAAAATTAGTATAGAATGAGAAATTCGTCCTCAAGATGTTCCGAATTATAGACTAAGCTACAAATTTCATTCAATTACTAACCTGAGAAAGCTTCATATGTTGATAAGAGTGTTTTTATGTATATGAACTCTTTGAGTAACTGATTAGTGTCCAAGGTTTTGCATCTTCAATTTGTTGAAGAATAACAAGTGTCTTAATTATTTCGGATACTATAACACAAGTAATGATAATTTAGACTAAAGATATTTTTTGAGGTTACACTATTTGGAGAATCATTGAAAACCAGAAAGCACTGGATGACTGTTTCGTCATAGTTAGGGATTTTTCAGCAGTGTGCATCCAGTACTCCATTAGGAATTAAACCCAAGATCTCCAGGCTACTAGTGTAAGTGCCTCTATTCTATGACTAGTAAGCTTTTTTCCCCTCTGAACTCACGATTTTATGTCTTTCTAAACTTACTGCAGCATTCGAAACCTGAAATATTTTTCGAACAACTCTTATTAAGACATCGGAAGATTTGTTGTAAAATGAAAGAATTTCATTTTCGCTTAAAATTAATATTAAAGCCCTTTGACTATCATTTATTTTCTAGGTGACGCAGGTTTATGATCCAACCTCCCTAAAACTTTCAAATGAACAACTAACCAGTACTCATTCAAAGTGGATACGTTAATACTTAGGGAAGATCTGTCACTGACAGTATGAGTAGATTTAGTAGTCATTCATGATAGATCGCGACCACACTACAACACAAACTGGTGGGAGTTCGAAATCGAAAATGATTGAATGATAAAATGGCCTCCTATAGGCTTATATTTAGTCCTACGTGGAGTGATGGGTGTACCCGAAAATGGGACTGTGTTGTTATTTAATATCCTCCTTTCTTTAGCTGATGCCGATTCGTGACAAAATCCACCTAGATGTAGGATAATGATACAATGAATAGGCATAACTGCAAGATTAGAGAGGATAATTAAATACGACGTTATTATTATTATCATTACTATTATAATCCCCCTGGATTTCGAGTGAAACATAGGGCTTCAGTATCACACCGCCATTTCACTCCGTTTTCTGTAGTCCCTTCAGCTGGCTCCACTATTGCCTGTAAACTTCCATTACCTCCTCACATGATCTTTTCAGTGTCACCGTCAGACGCCCGACTGGTCGTTTCCAATCGGATTCCACTCGAGAGTCTGTTTGGTGCGTGATTGCGCTCAACAGTTTCCTCATTGTGTATCCAATTCGACTCCATTTCCTTATGCATATTTGCTCGGTGATAGGTTCCCGGTCGGTTTGTTGTCAGGGTTCCTTGTTACTTATAATTTTTGGCTGGCCATCTGATCTTCACTATGGAGCCAGGGCAGCGGTTGATAAAAGTCTGCAGCCTATTGGAAATGACAAACCACTCAATCATATAGAATCACTGATTTGACATTAATGCTGAAATAACAAAATGAAAAGACTAGAACACTTATAAATCAAGAATACTCTTTAGAAGTTGTCTACAATTCGAAAAACGGTAATGTGGTAAATCTCAAACAAATTTGAGATTAAATTTTATATAACAGTTACCAATGAATTTCCACTGCCAACAAGCTACACACTGTCATACTGGTTAATGGGAATTAATTAGTTCAATGGAATTATTTATTTGACTGAAGTATCTATTCAACGTTTTTTTATTCCTTTACGTTCCCAGTGAAACACAGGGCTCTAAGCTAGAGGCTTGAAGTTTTGGCAGCAGTGGTGTTTATTTTTACTGGATGGGGTTGTTAGTCTTATGCCCAGCCTTCCCTGTCTACCAGTCTTATCACTGGGTTAGCGAGGTAAAGAAAGAGTGGATCGAACGGGGATCGAGCCCTAGATCATATGTATAGTCGGCGAGCATTCTACCGTTGTGCCACCGACGCACATCCATTCAGCGTAGATGGTGTAAATGATTTCTGTCCTGTGAAATAACTGAGATATGTTGTACACCATTTTCTCTTCCTTCTTCACTTTACTCTTATCCTGTTACTTTTTCCCCCCATATATCTTGTTTCTTTCTCTAAGATATACCTATTGAATATCACCTCTTATTACCTATCTGAATATATCTCACTATACTGCTTAAATATATTTTTATAAGTAGAGGTCACAACAGTAATATCGTAGTGTTAAATGAATTTGTACATAAAACACAATATAATTAATAATATGATGGTAGTTACTGAAAATCATTTTGACTTGAAACTAAGTTGTTGGTTTGTTAGAATTCATCAGTGAGCTATATTTACAGCCTTACAGGTTATGTGATGATAATGGATCTTTTAGGCTGGTCACTGAGTTGACAACCTTCTCTGTCGATGATACCCAAACTAGGGTGAAACAGCAGCTGTCCAGTACTTCCTGGTTTTCAATGGTTCTCTAACTGATATCAATCCGTGATCAACTCGTAAAAACCTTCTCTGTAGAAATTAATTTACTTGAAAAGCAAAACAAAATTGATTGTTTTCTCTAGATGAAAGAAAAATTTTACATGTTACAAGACTTAGTTGAGTTTGTATTTTATCTGAGAGAAGAATATTCTTCACTAACTAAATGTCGCAATCCCTTATAGAGGCTTGTTTTACTGTTGTTGTTTTTTAACTGAATGACCTCCATTTTTCCTTTATTTAACTAGAAAATATAACAGTACACAAATTTGACACTATACATAAAGTAGTATGCATTCCAGCATAGTGTGCTCTTTTAATCAAATTTTTCATGTAAATTATGATGTAAATATACGTTTATCTGTCTTTTCCGAATTCTTTGTGATAAATAGCGAAACAACTCGTACTCCAGATGGAGCTATTGAGAAATCCGGTGAATTAGTTAGTCTACCCTCAATTTTGAATTCATCCACACACAGGTCATCTAAACAGCTGAACAAACTCCAGCATTCTTTTCCATTCAATAATAATAGTAACAATAATAATAATAATAAACGAACACTTTTACCATCTAATTCCAACGAATCACTTATTGGCATAAATGGAAATAGAAACTGTCACAATTGTAGCCGTTATAACTCAGCACAACGATTTCGACAGATGATACTGAAAGCACGTCAAGAAAGTGGAAACTGTTAAAGAATATGACATCAGTGTTAAATAACTCAGTATTTTATTTAATCACTAAGGAAGAATTTCAAGAGACAACAGGTTCAATGTTCACTCTTCATAATAAAACTGTTGTTACTTGAAATTTTATCTAAAATCTCTCCTGGAACATAATTGAAACACTTTTAAAGTAAAAGTGTATTTGTAAATATTTTTCATTAAATGATATGGACCAGTTTTATAGTTTTGATATATTTATTTAACATTATTCTTGACGTCACAGGAAGTTCAAATTGGCCCTAGAAATGTTCTATAAGCTTTATACTACTTATAAGTAGGCAAAAGGCGACTGGTGGTTATTTTGTTTTCAAATGTTGGTTATTTTTTTATGAATCTGTGGTATGAAAATCAGATTCTTAAGAAATCTTATATTGCAGATAGTTCACATTTGATAAAGGTTCCTTCTCCTACCACTAAAATCACGTTCTGTTTGCCCGACAAATATAAAAGTAGATTCAAGAAAAAACTTTTAATAATAGAAAATTCTATTGGATCCTTTTGTACACAACAGTTATCCTTCCTGCATAAAAATTCTCCCACCTTCCACTTTTGGTTAAACATCATTCCGAAGAAGTATTCATATACATTTAACTGAAAAGATTCTGTTTGAAAAGTGCTATTATTCACCTTCATAAAAAATATGCTAGACGAAATCTTACTTCAAACTTAAGCCTAAGCGATTAATATTTCTTAGACGGCTTATACATTCAGCACAATGTTAGCTATTCTCAGTACCTAAGTAGAATATAATAGCAGTTGAATCGCTGGTTTTAAAATAAAATTTCAGGTTTTTCATTGTTGATAAGCCTGGAATATTTTAGAACCATTCTCTAAATAGAAATAGAAACATGTCAATAACCCAAAAGCAAATCTAATACAACTCTAGGCATATAACCATTTTCTAGTTAAATGGGAATTCAGAAAATGTAAATTAATTCCAAGACGTCACATATGTCTGTATATAACGACATGGTTCTTACATACGGAATTAGGATATTGAGTAGTAGTTCTGAGGTGCTGAGAAAACCTAAAGGCACTGATCACCGCTGATAGCTGCATGTGTATTGGTTATGCTAAGAAGGTTTCTTTACTACTGATAATGAAAAATGTCCCAAAAATAGTTGGCAGTTTTGCAATACTCTCACATTTAAAAGGAGATTATTCCACCATCCTTATTATTAACAAAATCAGTGCCAAAAGAAATTTTCCAAATAAACTGCAAGTCTGTGATTCAGAAAAATTCTTCCTGCTCCAAGACCAATGCAAGATGTTCTGTTTTTCTTGAATGACTACTTGATTCGTAGTATTGAATCTATTTCTTTTCATGTATTTATTACTGATCGGTGCCGACTTCTGACTTGTAGTTGACGAATGTCATAGTTTTATAAATTTTAAAAATATAAGTAGGTAAACGCAACTTGATTTGAAATCTTGGGCCGTTGTAATATAGTCCTCCTCATTTACCAAACCAGTAATATTAGCATTTCTTGCCTGCCAGTGAAACTAGTCTGCACTTTTTTCACTTTAATTATTAATATAAAAGGAACTTTCTTTTCTTGTACCATTAGAACATGATCTTACATATGCTTTGTTATACCTTTTTTAGTTGCTGTTAAAACTGCAGATAATTCAGATACTGCGAAGAATTTAGGTTTATATGTATTAGAATTACTAGAGTTCTTCTTTCGAATGATATTCCATTCAGTAGAGAGCAGAAGTCTTATTCTATGGCTTAGCAACTTACTACCTTCGAAACCAGGAACTAGGTCTCGTGTTAGAAAAACTAGTCTACAAAATGCATATAAAATTTTTAAGGAATTTATGTTCGACAACACCACTAAGTGATTTAGACAAGACTGATGATAAAAATGAATCGATACCTTAATGGTTACTGGTATGTTGATCTATACTTGAAGTTCATGTTTTAATGTGGTGACGGGCATAATTAAGAGGTTGGTGTTATATGCTCCATTTTATTTCCATGCATCATAATTAAGACTCTAAAACCTCAATATCTTCGGTCTCGAAGTGATGTTAGTTGAACTAGAATGTTATCGTAGACATCTATTAAAGAGAATTTCGTGAAACTTAGTTTGGAAAGTGAATGGTGATTGATAAAATGCGTTAAAAGTACTTCTCATAAAACTGGGAGGATAAATTTACATGGGAAGCATCCGGCATTTCCGACGTGTATATGTTGTATGATCAGTAGACCTACCGAGCATCAAGTAACACTATATCAACCAATAAAACTGTTTTCTAAACTTCAAGTAAACCTTGGCAGGAATTCAACTACGAGTAGATAACATAAGATAATCCAGATTCTTAATAAAGGTTTACGTTGTACAATACGTAAAATACTCTCGTGATATTATGTATTCTCCTCTTTTTCTATAGTTTGGTTTGTAAGGGTTAGTTATGTTTTTACGAGTTGATCACGGAGCTTGCCTTGTAACCGGAAGGTCCTAAGTTCGAATCCCAGGGGGTGAGTACTGCTGATAATTCCCAAACTAGTATTCTCCTCTGTTTTCGACCAGATTACTTGTTCATATTATGATTTTTACAGATTTCCTGACGATTACACTAGAATTTCTGTCGAAACTGAGATGAAATTTCAATTTCGTTTTGATTCAAACTGACATTATTCACATTTTAGTCTTACTACAATAATCAAGATATTAGGCAACTGATTTATAAATAAGAAATATATCATTTTGATTTTATTCGTAACAAATGTTAAAGTCAGTTTTATTAGTATACTCAGATTTATAGCAAAAACATTTTTCATCGTAAATTCATTACCTATCATGTCAAATTAGTATATCGATCTGTGGGGATTAGATTAACGCCAGTGTAGGTTTCATCACACGATAATGTTGGACAGAAAACCATTGAAAGTTAATATTCAACGGGCAGTTCTAACTACCTAGTATGAGATTTTTCACTAGTCCACACCAGAACTCCGTGATGTATCGAGTGAACCATCTAGTCACCTAGTAGTTACCATTCTGTTATAAAAATATCTTCCTCCTCAGCACATAGTTTGATGTTTAAAATCTGTTGAATAAAGAACGATGTCTCAAGCGAACGAAGGAAGTATCAGCCAATCTAACAATGTAAGTAACTTCCTGATTTCGGTAATAACCCACAGACAAGGTTCGTCTAAATGACTAAGGAAAATTAAATTCTAGGTAATCTGTAACTGGTAGAGAATAAAGATTACATCAAGATAATCCAATGTGAACTGATAGCCTTTAGCTAAGTCAGGATGAATCTTAAAAAATATTTATTTGTCGAGAAAATAATAATAATCTACCTTATTCAAAAACAGTACTTATAATACAGAATGGAATTCTCAGCATTTGTCACAATATTGCGTCTGATTTACTCCAAATATATATAAAATTAAAAATTAAAACAAAACTAACCAGAGAAATTTCTCCATACTTACGATACAAAGTCAAAAATACTAGAAGTACAAAATGAGAATAATAAATATAATAATAACAGTGAGTTTGTTTCAAAGAGTATTGTCGATTCAGTTTGAAAATTTCAGCACGTTATAGAGTATTGAATCTAATGTTCTGTCGATATAGTATGGTAAGGAGAAATACAGAATTAACAGTTATAACACAGCTTAAATGACTTTCACACTTATGAAAAGATAAACAAATAAAAGCAAAAAATGGAGAAGATTATAAATATAAGAAGTACAACAATAATAAAGCTTGGTGTTATAAGGGCGGAGGAAATGGTTTATTTAATAGTGCAAAGAAGGTTAGTTAATTCATGCTTAACACTATTTTCATCACATAAAGTACGTTCCAAACATAGTATAGTGGAATTTTTATACTTAGACGAACGTGCATAAAGTCTTCTAAAAAGACTTCTTGTTTTACCTGAGGAGACACGAGGTTGGAGCTGCAGATAAAGTGGATGCTCACAATCTGACAAAATTCCTTTAGCAAATTTGTTACATAAAATCAAGTGCCCATCATCAGTGACGATGTCAACGATACAACTTGCCCTACTGATAGTCTTCAGAGTTCTACGAAGCACGACATAGTCTTTTTTAAGCAATCCAGGAAAGAATAAGGGTGAACAGTAAAGAAGAATAGGTCAGATGCACCAGTTGACAAACTTTAAGAGGAAGGGTTGAGTTATGCCTAAATGCCTTAACTTCTTAGTGTGAAAAGTCAGAGGAAATATTCTTTTAGAAATCGCTAAGACATGGGAAGACCAGGATAAGCCAATAGAAAGAATTAATCCAAGATACTTAACCTCAGACTTGATTTCTATATCACTATCATCAATTTTGCAACAGTCATAAGAACCAACAGCTTCATTTAACTGTCTTTTACATTGGAGACTCAAATTAACAGTCTGACATTTGGAAGGATTTAGTTTAAGACCATCAGACGAAGACTATTTGCAAACTCCTGATAGAAAGCTGTTCATTTTAGTATAGTCTAGCTGGGAGTTAACAGACACTAAAAATAGTTAAAAAGTCCACATACTTAACAAAGTTCATTTCATCAGAGTGAGGCAGGTCATGCAAGAAGAAAGAAAACAGAAAAGGAGAAAGGACATTACCTTGAGGGACACCAGCTTCAGTAAGCAATGAAGTGGACGACTTCCTCTGACATACAGTGTACTGCTTTCTTCATGAGAAGTAAGAATGCAGGCGTTTGACAACCCAACAGTCATTTTGAGTTTCAGCAAGGGTGTTTAACAAAATATTCCTAAATACTAAGTTGAAAGCAGATGTGTAATCTAGGAAGGTGCAGCGAATAAATTTAGCCCCCTTGTCTGAACTGAAGACAATGTTAGGATGGAAGACTGCAGCTGCATCTAAAGTACTTCTACTATGTTTATAGGCGAATTGTTTGGGATCGTTAAAGGCTTTAAGTGAAGGTTGAAGATTAAGTAAGAGTAACTTTTCCATAGTTTTTAGAAAAGGAGAGGTAATA